TTCTCCAAGCTTAATGATTCTAGGATTTTGGGGCTGTGCTGTGCCCTGGTGTGTGGGGTGGGGTCTGGGGGACTTGGCAGCATCATCCCCCAGCCCTGGCCAGGGTGAGGGTGACTGTGCCCCTGCTGGCTGTGTCTGTAGGTGTGAAACTCCTGGTTTCACAAACACCCAGCACAGCTCTGCCAGGCTGGTGAGCATCAAATCCCAGCATGGTGGGGTTGGAAGGTTCCTCTGGAGATCATCTCCTCCAACCCCCTGCTCCAGCAGCTCACCCACAGCAGGGTGCCCAGGGTCACACCCAGGTGGGTTTGGGCTCTCTCCAGAGCAGGAGACTCCACAGCCTCTCTGGGCAGCTGCTCCAGGCTCAGCCACCCTCACACCAAAGAAGTTTCTCCTCCTGCTCAGGTGGAACCTCCTGGGTTCCAGTTTGTGCCCATTGCCCCTTGTCCTGTCGCTGGGCACCACTGAAGGTGTGGTAAAAGCCCTGAAAAGGGTTCACTTTGGGTAAAACTCCAAGAGTTTCTTGTCTTCTTAACCCAGGTCTGGCTGCCTGCCATGAAAGCCAAGGGGCTGGAGATCTCTGGCACCTTCAGCCGGCAGGTTGGCTCCATCTCCATGGACCTGGTGCTGACCAACAAAGCCCTGCAGGTCATGTCTGACTTTGCCATCCAGTTCAACCGCAACAGGTGAGGTCCCTCCTGGGCTGCCCCATGCCTCCCAGCCTGGTCCTGGCCTGGTGGCCTGAGAAGGTGGGAGGAAGGGGCTGTGAAATGGCTACAGGGGGTGGGAACAGCTTCACATGATGACCCTCTCTCTCTGATGGCTGTGGTGGTGATGAACATCAAACCAAAGCCTCTAAGAAGTTGACTGAAGAGGCTGTTCCTCTGGGTTGTAGCCATCTCATGATTTCTCTTCCTGGTGAACCTTTCCTTTTCTCTCAGAGGGACACAACAAGGGATGAACCTGAGGGGATGGTGTAGGAGTACTATAAAAATGGTTGTGAGTCTGTGTGGGAGGAAGGGGGGGAATCTGGGGCTACCTGTTATTGCCCCAGGGCAGACAGAGCAGGAACTAGACTGGTCCTGGACTGGGCAGGGGCCACCAGATAAGCTGTAGTGTCCCTGGGGTGCAGCTGGCTGAAGGCAGGGGGTTCTTCAGCCCCACTCTGACCCCCTGCCCTCCTCGGGTGTCCCCCCCAGCTTCGGCCTGGCCCCAGCAGCTCCTCTCCAGGTCCACGCCCCCCTGGCCCCCAACCAGTCCGTGGAGATCTCCCTCCCACTGAACACCGTCGGCTCCGTCATGAAGATGGATCCTCTGAACAACCTCCAGGTGGGCAGCACCTGGGGGTCTCCCCTCCTGGGGGAGCTGGGGATGGGGCAGGGGGTGTCCCAGGGTGGGTTTGCTCCCTTGGGAGGGAGGATGTGACAGGAGCCACATGAGAAGAAACACTCAGCTCGTCGTCCCCGCTGCTGGCAGAGCTCAGCCTGACTCCAGTTTGACTTCCAGCTCCACGCAGACTGGAGGAAGATCCTCGCTGGCAGCAGCAGAGCTGAGCCTTAGCTGAGCAGCTGCTCACAGCATCCCAGCGTGGGGGGTGATGGTGGAGCTCTAGTTCCCAGGAGGGAGCTGGAAGAGAAGGCTGAGGGGGTGCAGCTGCCAGTCTCCTGCCTTTGGTGCTTGCTGGAGTGCTGCCCGGCTCAGGAGGGATGGGATGGGAACTGCTCACCTGCAGTGGGTCAGAGGAGGTGTTGATGTCCTCCTCTCCTTTCCATCCCAGGTTGCAGTGAAAAACAACATCGACGTCTTCTACTTCAGCACCCTGTACCCCCTGCACATCCTCTTCGTGGAGGATGGGAAGATGGGTGAGTCGGTGACTCCTGGGGGCTGCACAGTCTGCAGGTGCCATCCCAGCCCCCAGAATCCTCCTGACCATGCTCCCAGCCCTGGGGATGGAGAGGGGAACCCCCTCCCCCTGGCAGTTGCAGATGGGGGGGGGGCTGCCATGGCAGCATGACCAAGCTGTGGCTACATGAGGTGGCCTGAGTCACCTTCTAACTCCTCACTGCCAGGGAGAGCTTCACTGGCTGCTTATTTTGCCTCTTTCCCGAGCCAGCATCATCTGCTGACCCCCCACAGTGGGTGGCTTCCCTGCAGCCGGGTGAGGCTGGCCTTGAGAAGCTGCTGGAGGGGGTGACAGCAGGACAGGGTGACCACTGATGCTGTGGCAGCGTGGCCACACGTTGGGCCACCTTTGGGGGTGCCTGATCATGTAGCAGCTTCACTGTGTTGGTTTGGTTCCTCGCTGCAGAGCGGCAGATGTTCCTGGCCACTTGGAAGGACATTCCCAATGAGAACGAGGCCCAGTTCCAGATCAAAGACTGTTCTCTCAATGCAGGTGGGTCCAAGGCCTTCAGAAGGACCTGGCTCAGCTCACAGCTGGTGACCAGTTACCTGAGCCCAGGCTGGGGGGTGGCAGGAGCTCCTCCAGGAAGGAGCTGCAGCTTTGCTTGCCACTGTAGAAACTTGGCAGCCTCTGAGAGGCTCTGCCCAGTGCTGCCAGGGATAGTTCCTGTGCCCATGCTGGCAGCAGAGGAGTCCTCCTTGCTGCATGGGGATGGTGGCTTTTGGATGTGCTGAGGAGGAGGAGATGGGGCAGGAGCTGGTGGTCAGCCCAGCAGCCCCCTCAGCAGCTCTCTCCTCCTGCCCAGATGCCGTTAGCAGCAAGCTTCAAGGCAGCAACATCTTCACCATCGCCAAGAGGAACGTGGAGGGCCAGGACATGCTCTACCAGTCCCTGAAGCTCACCAATGGCATCTGGGTGCTGGCAGAGCTCAGGATCCAGCCCAGCAATCCCAGCTCCACGGTATGCCCCTTCCCCTGCCCGCCTCCCAGCCGAGGCTGCTGCCCACCCTGCCTTCCCTCTTCTCTGCTTAGGGCTCGGGGTGGGCTGGGGTGGTCCTGTGGCCCATCTGCGGTGGTGGAACCCCCCTGGGTGCTGGTGGTGCTGGTCCTGCTGTCCCTCTCCCGTGGGGAGGGTCTGTGCTGCCCGGCTGGGCTCTGCAGCAGCACTTGGGTTCTGCCAGAGGCACGGTGGTGGCAGCTAAAGGAACCCCCTTAAAACACAACCCCCACCCCCAGCCGCTTCGTGGGGCATCCCCAGCTCTGCCCATGTCCTGGGCAGCCTCAGAGCAGAGCTGTGTCCATGTGTCCGGCCTCGGCCACCCCCAAGGTCCTGCTTTCCCTGGCCTGGCCCCTTCCCCACCTTCCTCCCAGCTGCTTTTCTTTGGGTGGGGACGAGCTGCGTGGCCTTGACTCACCTCTCTGTCTATCTCCGTGCCCGCTGCCCGCGCCGGCCTGCCCGCTCTTGCAGGATTTGGAGGTTAGCAGACTGGTTTCTACCCCAGCTTCGGGCTGCTGTTCCCTGGTTATTCCTCCCCTGCCAGCTCCCCACGTGTCTCGGTGCCTCTTTCCTCTCCCTCCTGGCAGTGCTGGCACGAGGCTGGCGCCCAGAGTGGAGCTTTGCCAGAGGGGAACGTTTATTTTGGAGGTTCCTACCACCCTCCTGGGTTCCCTTGGGATGAGGAGAGCTCCCAAATCCTTATCCTGGAGGCTTCCTCCCTACGCTGAGCTCTCTCCTTGCTCGCCTGCGGGCTGAGGAGCTAATTGAGTTCAGAGCTGATTAATATTTAATCTTTGAGTAAAGAACCAAAGGGGGCTCGTGCTGCTCAGGAGGCGGGGAAGGTGCCTTTGGGGGAACTGTTCACCCTCCAGCTACAGGCAGCAGAGCAAACACCACCCCCCCCCCACGCCAATTCCCTGAGAGCCCAACCCTGCCTGTGCCTCTGCCCAACCCCCTGCCCTCCCTGCCTGTGCTGCTTGGGGCTGTCTGGCCAGGGGAGGGTCTCCAGCAGCCCCAGGAGGGCGTTGAGGGCACTCGGTGCCTTTT